ACCATTTTATCTGTGTTTTTCCTCTCCCACTTCTTTCCACATATATTTGTTAGCCGCTTGGTCCTCTCTCCATTCCCTAAATGTTTCTTCCGATGTCTCTCATGGCCCTGTGTTTGTTACTTTGCCTTGTAGCTTCTACTGAGCTGACCCTAGATACAAACGACTATAGAGTTTCTCCAACGAGTCTACCCCTGAGGCACCTCAAAGTTAATATCCAGAACAGCTCATCAACCTTGCACTGCTTCCTCTACCCAAAACAATAGCCACACAATAACAACAGAAATCCCAGCAAAGAAACAGTATCCCCCCTCTCCTGGAGGATTTCCTATATTCAGCAAATGGCACACTGTTAGCTACTCACTCAGTTACACAAACTGGACATTTGGAGCCATCCTCTGTCCTATTCTCTCACACCAAGGAATCACCAAAAACACATGGATTCTAAATCATAATATATATCTTGAATGCTAAACTTATCGATGCATCCCCACCAGCCCCACTCAGATCTGCTATTATAATGACCTCAATCTAGGCTTCACCCTTTTTCCTCCAATCCATTTTCCATACTATAGCCTAAGTTACCTTTTTAAATTATAAATCTCATCACAGAATTTCATAAGTGGCTACCAGTTAGTTGCTCTTAGGAGAAATCAATATTCTTTAATATAGTCCCCCAAAAGTCTTCTGGATTGGGCTCTGGTTTAACCCTATCTTACATCACTATTCTGTTCACATTCTGCACATTGGTTACATTGAACAACTTCTCTCTCCTTGGATATATGCCATTCATCTCTCCCTCTGTCCATGCCGTCTTCCCTGCTGTGCCCCTTATCAGGTCCCATCCAATCACACTCATCTTTTGGGTCTCTTTTTTAGGGAGGCCTTTCTCTAACCTCCTGCTAGATTCTCCCATATCCCTAAGCCACCCCATTGTAAGGCATTAATGCTCATTCTTGTTTAATGTTTGTCTTTCCTGCTGGGCTATGTGATCTGAAAGGGTGGGAACGATGTCTCTCCTTTTCCTCACTGTATCCAGTGCTCCTTAAATATTAGTTGAAGGAAGGAGAGATGGACAGATAGATGGTCAGATAGCCAGTCTGAGGGGCTTAGTGTCTGAGTCGTTATTAGTTTTCCATTGCTACTGAAATAAATTACTACAGACTTAGTGACTTAAAAACAACACATTTTTAATCTTACAGTTGTAGGTTGGAAGTCCATCATGGGTCTCACTGGATGAAAATCAGGGTATCAGCAGGGCTGGCTCCTCTCTGGAGACTTTAGGAGAGGATCCATGTTCTTATCCATCTGGGTTATTGACAGAATTTAGTTCCTTGTGTTGATAGGACTGATATCCTGGTTTTCTTGCTGTCAGGTGAAGGCCATCGCCAGCTTCTACAGGCCACCCACATTCCCTGGCTTGCAGCCCCCTCGCCATCTTGAAAACCTGTGATAGCAGGTGGAGTCTCTCTCATGCTTTGAACCCTTCCTCCTCCTTTTCCTATTTCATTTCTCTAACCAAGTTCATAAAAGGTTCTCCGCTTTTAAGGATTAAGGTGATTAGATCAATCATGCCCACTCAGATAATCCAGGATAAACTCCCCATTTCTAGGTCTGTATGCTTAGTCACTTCTGCAGAGTTCCTTTTGCCGCAACAGGTATAGTATGTTTACAGGTTACGGGAATTAGAGCACAGATGGCTGGGGGCTGTTGTTCTGCTTACTACAGAGCCTGTGTTTTTTTCTTCCTCAGTACTTTCTCCCAAAAGCTTTTCCACTGGTTTGTAGTTCCATTGGTACTTGTTTAATTTTAAATAGTATTCCTTTGGTTTTGCTAGATAAAACTATTGTAAGCTGCTAGTACTTGATAATGTATTTGTGTGAAATTGAATGAGTGAATGAATATGTATTATGGCCATCAAATTTGATAAATTGCAGAATACAGTGATAAAACAAACTCCAGAAAGACAAAGCACCATGAAACGCATCAACAGAGAGAACAAGAATTTTAGAGGAAATTAACTGGGCATGGTGGTGCATGTCAGTAGTCCCAGCACTTTGGGAGGCCAAGGCTGGTGGACTCTTGAGGCCAGGAATTCAAGACAAGCCTGGCCAACGTGGCAAAACCCCATCTCTACAAAAAATACAAAATGATTAGCTGGGCATGGTGATGCGTGCCCGTAGACTCAGCTACTCAAGAGGCTGAGGTGACAGAACTGCTTGAGTCTGGGAGGTAAAGGTTGCCGTGAGCCATGATCATACCACCACACTCCAGCCTGGGCAACAGGGTAAGACCCTGTCTCAAAAATAAAAAAACAGGCCGGGTGCTGTAGCTCACACCTGTAATCCCAGCACTTTGGGAGGCTGAGGCAGGCGGATCACAAGGTCAGGAGATCAAGACCATCCTGGCTAACATAGTGAAACCCTGTCTCTACTAAAAATACAAAAACAAAATTAGCCAGGTGTGGTGGCGGGTGCCTATAGTCGCAGCTACTCAGGAGGCTGAGGCGGGAGAATGGCATGGGCTGGGAGGCGGAGCTTGCAGTGAGCAAGATCGCACCACTGCACTCCCCTGGGAGGCGGAGCTTGCAGTGAGCCAAGATCGCACCACTGCACTCCAGCCTGGGTGACAGAGTGAGACTCTGTCTCAAAAAAAAAAAAAAAAAAAGAAAAAAAGAAAAAAGTTAGAGGAAATTGTTGAGTTTATGAAATGGCTAAACCAGAGGTAAGGAATTACTTGATCAGTAGCATTGTTTTCCTTTATCTAATTACTATAGATTGTGTAGTAGTATATCAAGACACATTACAGTCTTTTGTGTTATTTTAAAGTTGGCCATGAGAAAATAAAATGGAAATATTTCTTCATCCCTCAGCATCCTTTACAGAATCATAGAAATTTAGAACTGGAAGGGATCTATGGCCAATTCTCTTGAGCTAAATAAAGGTAAGATTGCTGCCTAAGGAAAGATAGGCTGAAGATTTTAGAATTTGATAGGGTAGCTTAAATAGTAGTAGTTGAGATACAGTATTGCTTGAAGTGAGAGAAACCATTAAGAGAAAGAATATTCCTTGCCCCTGATTGAAAAATGGCTGAAATCCACTAATTTTCAAGCTGTATAATTATTAAAAAGTCTGTATTTCATAAGATACCTGTGAGAATAAATAGTAAGCTGTAATATGATGTGAATTACCTTAGTTACTGAATATTAAGTCACAAAGTACAAAAGCAGATTTGAATGTAGAGAAAAATTCAGTGCGTGAAATTGAGGTCATATGTGCCCATGATGTATGCCTTACAGGAAGTAATAAAAAAGAGGGGGGAAGTAAATGGTATACTTTTAAGCTGATGGGACTATTTTAAGGGTGGAATTTAAATTGCTGTTCTTTAAAAGTTAAGTTTTTACCCCCCTCACTATATAAGGGGACAGAGGGGAGGGCTCTGATCAAAGTAGACCTCTCCCCTCCCCCCCTTCAGTATGCTTCTTAAAAGTCGACAAGCAGGCTGTCTTTGTTTGCCGTTCCTGAGCAGAAAGAGGAGATTGATACCATTTTTATCTATTCAGACTTTTTCCTTGCATTCATTTGAATGAGAGAAGCCTCATAAAAGAACAGTGTCACAGGTTAAATGCATCTGCCTGGGTGTCTCTCCTGCCTGAGGTCATAATCCTGTGACAATATTTTATTTTCTCAACATCTTAAATACAGATGTTTAGATTTTTTTTAAAAAAACTCAGGAATAGTGTGCTTTTATTAACAGTATTGGTGATTGATTTTGAATGTTTTTACTTCAAAAAGCCAAATCTCCTGGTGGGTGGAATTTTATGAAGCACCTGTTAAGCTTTAGGGAGGAGGACCTTTTTGGCAGCAATCCAAAATACATATTTAAACAATGAGCCTGCCAAAGTCAGGAAATTATAAAACAGTTTTGAAATTGCAGAATCTGCTTTTTTTATTACCCCTCAGGTTTCCTTTGCAGCTTGGTTGTAAGTTCTTTCACATGGGATTTACTAATGTTCTTACTATTTAAAGACTAGGTTTAAAAAAAATAAAATGGAGTTTGGAGATCTCTTTGAGTTTATGTGATAAAAGACCATTAGATTTTAAACTGTACAGCCTTCCAAACAATCTAGGCTCACGCTCCCCACACCTCTTGAAGGAATCTATTACTCACTGGCTCAGGGCTGGCTTCTTTGAATGGCATTGCCCCTCAGGGTCTCCAGTTTTCCTCTGTGAAGTGAGCAGTAAGACATGGTGTGTGGAGCGCTGCTAGGTGAAAAGTGTGCACCAAACAGTGTGGAAAACTCAATGCTCGGGAAAATGGGGGAACCTGCTGAGACCGCACTTCTTGGTGGGTCCTGTTTAACCTGGATCTCTCAGCTTCTTATCTCTGTCTCTCAAATTCACTGTTTCTGCTTCTGCTTCCAGAGTTTAAACTCAGTGACCCAGGGGCAAGATGGCAATGTCTGTCCCAGCAATGGGATGTTCTTTGTGTACTGTTGGATTTGGGCGGGGGAGGGCATCTGCAGTTAGGTTAAGCAGTCTCAATTTTTTATTTAGTTATCTGTTAAGTTTTATGATTTCATCACACATAGAGAGCAGGAATTGTTTGAACTTTGGCAACTCCCCTCAGTGTGTGGCAAACCAGGACCCCCTGGGTAGATGGTGGTTGATGAAGAGTACAGGAGATTGAACAGGGTGCAGGAGTGAGAACGCCTGAGCTTGTGTTATCTTCAAGTTCTCAAAGGCTTGAGATTGGAATTGGTATAAATTAACTTCTCTTAGGGAAAACATTTTTACAGTCATTTTGTTACATGCAGGGAAAGAAGGTAAGGGGAAAAGGCAGAAAGGAAATCTGTAATTTAGATTCTCTGATCTGTTGGCATTTTCAAGTTCCTAAGGTTCATTGGCTAGCCTCATCAGCTATCTATTAAATATTAGGGAATGGGAGTTTAAAAAAGTCAAAGGCACCATTCCCATCAAGCAATTTGCTTTTTATTCTCATAGGACACCCATCCTGTTTGAAATTTTGTCCTGAATTAACAACAAATGTAAAGGCCTTAAGGTGGCAGTGCATCGAATGCAAGACATGCAGTGCCTGTAGAGTCCAAGGCAGAAATGCTGTAAGTATGGCTCCCGTAATCCGCTGCCAGGTAACTCGCTAATTTCCAGTATTAAGGTGTTTTCGTTTTTATAGAGTATGGCTACTTTCTTTCTAAAGTTTTAAATTCACGTGTTGTCAGACTGCAACTGGGATCTTGGTGCACTTTTCTTATGTTGTATTAATGTTAATCCAGTAACAAAATAATTTTTAGCCTTTTACAGTTGGTTTCAGTCTCAATTAGTCTCTAATATGTTATATTACAGGATAATATGCTTTTTTGTGATTCCTGTGATAGAGGATTCCATATGGAATGCTGTGACCCACCACTTTCCAGAATGCCAAAAGGTGAACTTTTAAACTGTATTAAAAATGTATTTTATTACGTATTGGTTAGCTTTGTCCTGAGGTCTGACAGCTCAGAGTTATACAGGTTCTTTAAGCATTTTTTTCATCCCTCCCACCTTCCCTATACTTGTGAGTTTAGGGTTGTGAATGGAGGATTACAAAAGCATAGAAAAAAATAACATATATATGTGTGTGTGTGTGTGTATATATGTATATGCATATATATAAAAGAAAGGCTCTAATTCAGACCCAGGGATGAAAAAGACCATCTCTCTCTCCAAACCATTCCCCTATTAGAATAAGATTAGATTATGTAGGTCAAAAGTTTAGAACACTTTCCATGTTATTCAGCACAGTGTTTAGAGCTTAAGAAATTTTATATTTTCGAGGATGATAGTGACTCCAAAGTCCTACAACAGGAAGCCATCACCTTTTTCTTGGCCATTAGTTGATATTTTGAACACGAGCATCTGAATGATCTTATAGCTGATCGTGTCTGATGGAATGTGGATTTTCTTCTATTTATTGGGTAAATCAGCTAAGCTCAGCCTTTTCCCCCCATTTTGCAATATATTAAACATTTAAAAATAACTTTGCCTTTTTATTTAAAAAATCCTTAATTTACATTGTGGAAGATTTAAAAAATACAGGTAGACAAAAAAGGAATAAAAATAAAAATGAATTAGAAATACCTTCTCTGCCTTCACATACCCTTTGAAGGGAAATGGAACATTCTGTACATGTTTTTGTAATGTACTTTTTTCCTCCCTCTTAATAGATTGTAAGCACCCCTACATCATTAAATATTCTCCTAAACATAGTTTTTAATAAGTGTGTAGAACTCCATAGTATAGAGCAGGGATTACAAACCTGGCAACTGTGGGTCACAGATACGCTTTGTTGGCACCATATTTTTAAAAGTTTGAGACCTCTGGGTGGTGCATGTGTGCTCCAGTTTGCCACAGTCTCACTACTCCCTGCTGTCTTAAACGTTCCAATTTGCATCAGTCACATGTATTATACAATCTAGGTCCTTCCTGGAGGTATTTGATTTTCCAGCCCCCTGTATAAATGAACTATAATTCATTTAACCAATCCCTTAGGGTGGATATTACAAATGTTTCCAATTTTTTCCATCCACAATTATTTCCTTGAAATAAATTCCTAGGGGAGGAATGGTTGGATCAAAGGCTAGATACATGAAAGGCTATATCAGTTTTCAGGCTGTCCAGCAGTGTATGAGGATACCTATTTTCCTGTATCGTGACTAGTACTCACCGTTACTATATCTCGAGTCTAAGACACAGGTGTTTTGTTTGTTTTTAATGTTTTAATATCTTTGAAGTCAGATGCATCATATAGTATCTTAGATTTGATGAAATACAGTATTATTATTTTTTAAATTTTACCAGTTTGATAATAGAAATATGTCTGATTTTTTTTTTTTTTAAAGTAGTCAGATTGAACATTTCTTGTGTTTTTTTCTTGGTTGTTTGTATATCATCTTTTCTAAGGTGCCTCTTTTTATCCATTAATCATTTTTCTCTTGGGATTTTTACCTTTTTTTCCCTGATTTGCAGAAGCTCTTTTTTTTTTCATGTAGTCAGATTCATGAATCTTTTTATTTATGGCTTCAGTTTTAAATGTCAGTCATGCTTAGATTATATAAATATCCACATATCTTTCCTGGTACTTGTAACATTTTATTTTTTCATATTATAATATTCATCTGTCTAGAATTTATTCTTATAAAGGATAGGAAATAATTCCTCTTCCAGGTAGATAGCTATTTGTTCTATCACGCTTATTGAATCATTTCATCTTTTCCCCGCTGATTTGAAATATGACCTTTTGATATGCTAAACTTTTCTGTAGGCTTCGGTTGTTCTGGTCTTTCCATTCTTATCCATTGACCTGTTTTTCTATGCTAGATGTATAGTTTTAATCATTGTAGTTCTGCAGTACTCAAAACTACTGATAATTTTTTTAGTTTTGGAACTTTCCAGAAAGAGATGATAATTTTTTTTTTCTTCTAGAAATTCCAAAAACGGACTGACTTGAAAATGTCTCCCTCAAATCAAAAGATAAAATATCTGACAGGGGCGAGTTTTCATGTGTGTTTATATGTTGGTGAGAGGCTTAATGACATGTTGGGAACAGCTTTATGGAAGGGTTCTGAGAGAGAGGCCACCTCTGCCCTCACCACCTTCGTTCTGGGGAAATTGACCTGTAGTGATGGTTTCCTAACGAAAATGACAAAAGGGAATGACGCATTTTTTGGAGTAAAGTTCAGCATACAGGCATCCTTGAGCAGCTTTTTACAGATATTTAATATCTTCTCTTAAAATGAAACATTAAAATATTTTTCTCATATATATATTAATTCAGGGATGTGGATTTGCCAAGTCTGCAGACCAAAGAAAAAGGGAAGAAAACTACTTCATGAGAAAGCTGCACAAATAAAACGACGATATGCAAAACCCATTGGACGACCGAAAAATAAATTAAAGCAACGATTGTTGTAGGTTGAGATCTTATCAAAAGAAATCTTTTATGTTTTGCTTTAAAATATAGGTGATTGTTATTCTCTTAGATTCCTTTAGGGGTTTTTTGGCATCATTTTTTCAAACTCAAGGGTTGAAAAATACTTCTCTTTTTACTTGAGCTGTGGAAATTTTTTGAAAATAACATTTTTAATTACCATTGGCGTTTTGGGGTCTTCTGTTGGCAGTAGCTGTGATACTAAGTGACATTTTTCAAGCAGCAGGATGGAAGCAGAATGTAAGAACTGGAAACAATCATTCAGCCTACTTTATTACTGGCTGAGCATAGAAGAGCTTAATTATATAAATATTTTCATAGGAATTTTAAAACGAGAGGGATTTGTCCATGTCTATAGCAAATCTCTTTCGTCACTCCAGATAACATTTTAGAAAAATACCTCTCTCTTCTGATAGTAATGTAGCATTACCACTTTTTAAGATCTCTTTTATGAAATAGGAGCTTCTGAAAAACCTGCAGATGACCATTTGCCTCTGAAGAGTTAGACACAGCTATTTGACAACTGCACGTGTGCAGACATATATATAAAATAATATATTCGCAGTGGCCTGGAAATCTGCTATGATAACCCCATTTTCACTATCTTGTTGCCATATAATTGCCATTAAAGCCCAGTAGAGCATTTAGCAGGAGTTAGTTGGAAAAGCAGAGAAAAGATAAGAGGTGAAATGAATTTATTTTAACCTGTGTAGAGTATAGATTTGACTATCAGCATTAAGGTGTTTACAAATGGAATCAGGAGACTTGCACATCTATAACAGTTCTGCCAACAGACTACCACCATCTTTTCAGGCTTAGTGAAAGGACCATTGTGATGGAGAAAGAATACATGCTCTGCACACACCTTGAACAGACACCGAGAATCTCACTCCCTTGCTTACTCCTTTTCCCCTAATTTTATCTGAAGCAGTTCTCACTATCTTACTCGCTCTCAGGAAAATAGTATCCTCCCGCACCTTTATCTCCTAAGAAGTAAGAAATGCAGGCTTCTTTCTAGAGTTTTCTATGAAACTTTGCGAAAACCCTTTAACCAGTAGACATTGTCAGTAGATTTTGAAAAAATTTCTAGAGGCAAACATGAAACATGGTTATGAATAAAATCTTTCATAGTAGTATCATTTGAAGTAGAAATTATATGTTTTTGCATTCATCCTGTGTAAGCATTGTTCCCAACATGGGACCGTATCCTCAGGGCCCAATTAAAAAAACCAAATTAGGATATAAACTTTCTAAACAAAGGACACAGCTGAAAATTGCATCTGGCACCAATCCTAACTTTTTGTTTGTCCAAAATTGTCCTTTGAGCTTAGGAATTTTTAAGACAGTCTAGGGAGTTTTCCTTTTTACGTGCTTTATAAGCATATTATCCTTTCTGGGCAATCGATTCCAGATACAGTCCAAATGCAGCGTTCTGATGTGAAGCATTTTAGCCTGGATGAGTTCTTGTTGGTAACTCTCACTGTGTCTCTAGTGACACTAGAGATCTCCAACGTTCACCTGACTTGGCTGAATTGGTGGTGCCAGGCAGAGTCCCTGGCAATAGAGCCACCTCAGATGAGCCTGGTAGCTGCACCTACCTCCTCTTCAGCCAGCAGCTGAAATCTGGTCATTAAATCTTTGTATACAAGATGATCACTAAAATGTGCTCTTGTATTTGTAATTACTTAAGATATTTTTATAATTCGGTATTGTCTCTTTTCAAGGCTTTCATTTCGTCATTATTTGCCTTCAGCTAAATTGATCATTCTGAAAGTACATTCTTGGGCCCCAGCATTGTCATAATTCATCTGCAAATGTTTCTCTATTATATGAAACTCTGCTACGAAATGGGTAGCTTCGCAAACCCTAGCCTGAGGTGAAGACAGTCGGCTGCTGTTCATGTAAGCAGCTGTGTTAGCGAGTGACCTCTAGTTTCTGTTGACTGCTCAACAGTATGGGCAGAACCGGGGTATAAAGATTCTGACGCCAAGTGTCTGATAATGACCATGGTAAATGTGCCGCTTCTTCACCAGACTCTCCATGTCATGTCTGACCCGCTGTAGCTTTTCTTTAATCATTTCTTCAGTTTTTTGCTATTGTTGTCCTTTTTTCAGCAATATTTTATGCTGTAGTTAATTGTCTTCTCTCCTAAGAGAGTATTATTGGTTATCTTACCATCCTAAACACAAACTGCTGAGAGGAAGAGGGTGTCTTTTTATGTTTTCTTAAAAAAAAGTACAAATTTATAGCCATATCCAAACTCTATTTATATAAGTTTGCAAATTGAATTAAAAATTACTTTTAACTAGAGATTAGATAAGCTTCTTCTTTTGCTTCTGGATAACACATATGACTTATTTCCTCCTAATACTTTAAAAAAGACATTCCAGGAGATCATAACTCTTTGTGACGACACCAAAGGATAGCTTGTTTTTATTTAATTATAATTAAAGCATCGGGTGTTCTTTTAGTCTCTTCAACATTTTTCTTGCTTATATTGCTCTTGGGTCCACATGGATTCTTCCAGTACCTGTTGGATGGGCCCTGGAAAAACCATGACATGCAAATGCAGTTGCTGCTGCCTTTCCAACAGAGAAACATCTAGGTGGTGGCACACACAAAAAATACAGTTCTTAAGTTTAAGCCCATTGAATGCATCTAGTTGCAATAAATTTGTTTTTAGATACCTTTATAATTCTATTTATTAAATGCTGATACTATTCTCTAAATTTCTGCCTAGGTCTGTAACCAGTGATGAAGGATCCATGAATGCATTCACAGGAAGGGGGTCACCTGGTAGGGGTCAAAAGACTAAAGTCTGTACCACACCTTCATCTGGTCATGCTGCATCTGGGAAGGACTCAAGCAGCAGATTGGCTGTTACAGACCCCACTCGGCCTGGTGCCACCACCAAAATCACCACCACCTCCACCTACATTTCTGCCTCTACACTTAAAGTTAACAAGAAAACCAAAGGGCTCATTGATGGCCTTACTAAGTTTTTTACACCATCACCTGATGGTCGCAGATCACGAGGTGAAATAATAGACTTTTCAAAGCACTATCGTCCAAGGAAAAAGGTCTCTCAGAAACAGTCATGCACTTCTCATGTGTTGGCTACAGGTACCACACAAAAGCTAAAACCTCCACCTTCTTCACTTCCACCCCCAACCCCCATCTCCGGTCAGAGCCCCAGTTCACAAAAGTCCAGCACGGCCACTTCTTCTCCCTCTCCCCAGAGTTCTTCCAGCCAGTGCAGCGTGCCCTCCCTGAGCGGCCTGACCACTAACAGCCAGCTGAAGGCACTCTTTGATGGGCTCTCTCATATCTATACCACTCAGGGACAGTCTCGCAAAAAGGGACACCCAAGTTATGCACCACCCAAACGTATGCGTCGTAAAACTGAATTGTCTTCCACGGCAAAATCTAAAGCCCACTTCTTTGGCAAAAGAGATATTAGAAGTCGGTTTATTTCTCACTCCTCCTCCTCTAGCTGGGGGATGGCTAGAGGACGTATTTTTAAAGCAATTGCTCACTTCAAGCGAACAACTTTCCTTAAAAAGCACAGGATGCTAGGCAGATTAAAATATAAAGTGACCCCTCAGATGGGGACCCCCTCACCAGGGAAGGGGAGCTTGACAGACGGAAGGATTAAACCTGATCAGGATGATGGTAAGCAAAAGGTCAAAGCTCCAACCAAACCTGCGTCCCGTCCCTTTCTCCCCAACCCCGAAAAAAATCAACCAATCAATTCCTATTTGTCACATAGGTCTTAGCTATTTCTCTTGTTCTCACTTCACTTTCATACAGAAGCAGTGAAACTTTGACCTTTTTCTAATGCTGACTAAACCTCCAAAATGTTGTTTTTCCAACTAATACTCTCCCACCTTTTATTATTTACTTCCATTCGTAGTGACACTAGGACCCCCAGATGCCTCCATAGCGTTGCTTATGGCTTTGTAGTCCCGCATGAGTAGCCACCGCCATGCTTCTGCCATGCTCTCCCCCATGTCGCCTCTGCAGCCACAGCGCTGTTCGGTTGTGTGCTGTCAGTGCTTCCAACAGGGGGTGTTTCAGCTCTTCCCTCTGCTCCATTGCTTTCTCATGACAAAGTTCATCCTGCTTCCGTCTCAGCAAAGCCTGATCTGTGACTCTGTGATGTGTGCTTTTGGATGTGAGTGTGTCTGTGTGTGTATCCACCTTAGGGAGAAAACGGATTTCATAATTTCATTGAACAAATTGGCCCATTACATTTGCTACCCTTTATCAAACAAAAACCGAAAATGTGTCATTTGGACAAAGTGGTAGAATTTATTATCTCAAAACTGATAATGGGAATGCTATAACTAGACATTGATAAAACTTCTTATCTTGGTTGAAAAATATGATTTCACTTTGTATTGCTGTTACTTTCCCTCATATATTTATTAAAGCTGTAAAAAGATGACAGTGATAAATTCAAATAAAAATTTGAGTATAGCAGGGAAAGGATACTGCTGGATCTATGAGCAGTGCTTAGATGTAAAAGCTTATTTATAAAGCTTTAAAAAAAAATCCCTATTTGCCCAGTATGCTAATTTGGTGCCATTTTGGTAATATATGATGGTTACTCATGATTCAAGTCAGTGAATACACTTTCTGCTGGTTTTAAATGACAGATACTGAAATAAAAATAAACATCAAACAAGAAAGTGCAGATGTAAATGTGATTGGAAACAAGGATGTCGTTACTGAAGAGGATTTGGATGTTTTTAAGCAGGCCCAGGAACTTTCTTGGGAGGTAAGGCGAGGATCCCACATTGTACTAGCAAGTATAAAATGTGGCTTCTGACTATCCATATGGAGTTACTGTGTTGATTTTATAGAGAATCCCTTTCAACATCCTGTGTGATTCTTTAGCCATTATCATGCCCATTTTTATTGACTGTGTATTCAAAAGCAATGACTTTGTAGAATTGTCTCCACTCTTAAAAGTAGGTATTGGCTCAGCTGGTCTCACAAAATAAAACAGAGTAGCACTAGTTGAGGCAGATTTTGGAAAACGTTTCTAGGTGTGAAGGAATAGATTTCTGATGAGTTTTGCCTAAATTTAGAAAATAACAATTTAAAATCATTAACAAAAAGAGGAACATCGCTGTTAAATTTGCCGATGTTTCTTCCAACACAGATGGCCAGCCATATGAAAAATGTCTCATATTTTTAGCTCTTTTGCATTGATGAAAAAATATTGTGTTTCATGATCAGTTGTAGTCAGTTTTATTTTTATTGTCCAGTAATTTCTTTAAGTGATTCCACTTTGATTCTGCATAAGTTATTACCACCCAGATATTGAAAGGTGAGGCTGTCAGACTTCTCAAAGACAAATCTGTTATGAATTGTGAATTTGTTGTGTCAGTGACTACATTCGGTTTCTCTGGCCAATGTGGTCAGTTAGACTCCCTACCCAACCCCACTTCCTGTTTTGTGGGGAAGGGGTTTTCTGTAGGCTCTTAACGCTTTATTTTTAGTAGCAGCCAGTTGGGCTAAATACTCCTGACAGTTTCTACCTTTAGAGCTATTGGATATTTCCAACCCTCATTCTGCCCCTATCAGGATGCCTTGTATCAGCTTTCCTTTGGCTAAGATAAAAGTCAAATTTCCCCCCGTTATTAAGATTGGGAGTCCTTGAACCAGCCCATATTGGAAGTGGAGCAGGTCAAAACTCCTATGTTGATCAGTAGTGGGATTATGCCCTTGAATAGCCACTTTACTCCAGCCTGGGCAACACAGCAAGATGCCACCTCTTTTAAAAAAAAGATTCGAAGTCCTTAAATGTTATCATTTTTTTTTTGGCCTTCTTCTGACATTCATGTATAAACATGAACTGTAGGCCATTATCTGAAAGATACTGCTAATTCTAAAACTTTTTCATTCCAACATGGTAAAACTGGCTTTTTTTATTCAAGAAATATTCTTGTTCTGTGTCAGGCACTGTACTAGACACCAGGGATACCACAGTGAATCTGGCAGGCAGAGTTCTTAACCTCATATGGCTTTCTACATGGAAATAAGGGAAATAAGAAGAGACAAATGCTAAGCTGCAGATTTCACAATTGATTATTTAATTACAGTTGTGATAAATACTACCTCATGGAGGAATAGGAAACTGTAAACATATGTAATAAATAAGCCTGTGAAATAGCCACATCATTTATAATCACCTAATTTCTAATCTGTTACAACAGATTGTTAAATCCAGTTCTATCGACATTTGTATGTATTTATACCATACTTACTTCCTTTGCTATATTGTTTCTTAGGGTATTCGTTTGCTGTGAATCTTACACAGAGGTAATGTTAGGTTGGTGCAAAAGTAATTGTGGTTTTTGCCATTGAAGGTAATTATAAAAACAGCAATTACTTTTGCACCAACCCATTTCATAAGGGTCTATAGTGTTTTAAGACCATGCAAATTCACAATTAAGATTAGCGTTCTGATAAGCTTTGATAGTCACTGGTGAAAGAACCAAAATGTAAGTGAAGTATATATATTATTATTTTCCTTTTCTTTCTATTTAACAGAAAATAGAGTGTGAGAGTGGGGTGGAAGACTGTGGCCGGTACCCTTCTGTGATTGAATTTGGTAAATACGAAATCCAAACCTGGTACTCCTCGCCTTACCCACAGGAATATGCAAGGTAATGGAATAAGTCTGGCAGGTGTATAACTTGAATGTCACATATGTGAGAAAGGAAAATTCTTGATTCTAAAGCAGGAATTAAGGATGATTTTAGGAAATAAATTTTGATAGTCAGTGCTAAGTGCTTCCCAAACTATTGCTTTTGCCAGCGCCTTTTAATAGTATTCCTTGTTCTTGGTAAATTCCTTATGCTCCTTAGTTACACGGGCATTATACATTTTGCCATTTAGCTTCTAGACTGTGCTTTCTTTCCTTGGTTAATTGGAGAAATGTTGGTTTTGTATGAAACCCAATAAAAAAAAGAAATTTGCCATGGTGAATTATTTGGTAGACTTTCTTCTCTGGTTGCCTTTTATATTTTTTAATTAGGCCTGTTCATTTTATCTCTGATTTCTGGCATTTTATTTTCAAGTTTTTAATAGAAATATAGCAAAAGAAGGAAAAATGGGAGAAAGTAGATGGGAATGGGTAGTCTTAAGAGACCCTTCCCCAAATCTTTACTTTTAGAACCATTTGTGACTTTGAAGAGAAGGCCAGGCCCAGTGGCTCACTCCTGTAATCCCATCACTTTGGGAGGCCAAGGCAGGTGGATAACCTGAGGTTAGGCGTGCGAAACCAGCCTAGCCAACGTGGCAAAACCCCGTCTCTACTAAAAATACAAAAATTAGCCAGGCGTGATAGGGCACGCCTGTAATCCCAGCTACTTGGGAAGCTGAGGCAGGAGAATCACTTGAACCCAGGAGGTGGAGGTTGCAGTGAGCCGAGATCACACCACTGCACTCCAGCTCGGGTGACAGAGTGAGATCCCATCTCAAAAAATAAAAAGTAAAAAGGAGAAAAAATGGTATCCGAGTTTTCATTTGTCTTGAACTCAAATTAGCTGTGAACGAATATATCCCAAAATAGGTGCATTGAGAGTAGATTTCTTCCATGCAGTACATCAGGGCACACTTTACTAGCGTCTCCAAAAATGTTTTAGTCTGCAAAGTTTTCAGCAATTATAAATTTGGTTTTCTTATAGAATAGCTCTTATTTTTTTCATTAGCATATGAGCGTCTGGCCAATCACGTAAGTGGAGAAAATGCGAAGCGTTTTCTAAAAGTTAAATGACAAAATAAGAGTCAAGAATTTTGGTTTCTCCTCCTAGCTTATACCATTCGGTTGTGTGTTCTTGAACAATTTTTTAAAATGACTGTGAGCTTTCATTTGCCTAGGTAATCATAAGCCATGTGCTCTGAAAACTTTGGATAAAATTTGTACATAAGTGCAAGGTTTGAAAGTAGTCTCATCTGTGTCTGCCTGTCTCTTGAAAACCTTTTACCCCATTCTTAAACTCCAAAGACCTTGCAAGTGCTTCTAAACATTTTCTTATAAATATCAGCCGTGTTCATTAAAATATGGAAATAAAAAGTGTTCTAATTTTTAAGGTGGAGAAAAAGTCAGCAGGGAAGAGAGGTATTTGTCTTTTACTCAAAGTAACGGTGGAATTGGTAGAAAACAAATTAGATCTTTTGATTTTCAGCCCTGCCATTTACTGCATTAGACCATGTATAAATCTATAATAATAACTTTAAAGTTACCTCTTCCAGAAGTGGAAATGGTAACAACTAAGTTCAAGGACTTTTCGGCCTCATATGTATGCAGATTGTTTAAAAATAATAAATTCACTTCTGAGTAAAATATTATAGCTATACTGCTGACCATATATAATTGGAAATAAGATAGTAAGTGTGAATTTTGAAAAATATGCTTGGCCCCTTGACAGGATGGTATCCTTATTAAGTTGATTTTTAGGGTGGTGGTTCCACATCTGTAAACCTTTCTTTACATAGGATATTTTTAAGCAAACAAATGATTTGTTCACAAAGTAAAGGGAGCATGTATTATGGATTATATTGAAAAATAATGTAAGGTTGTTTTTACATTCTCTCTTTACTATTGGCTTTCTTTTTTTTTAAAATTAATTAATTTATTTATTTTTGAGATGGTGTCTCACTCTGTTGCCCAGGCTGGAGTGCAGTGGTGCGATCTCGATTCACTGCACCCTCCGCCTCAAGCGATTCTCCTGCCTCAGCCTCCCAAATAGCTGGGACCACAGGCATGTGCCACCACGCCCAGCTAATTTTTGTGTTTTTAGTAGAGACGAGGTTTCACCATGTTGGCCAGGCTGGTCTCAAACTCCTGATCTCAGGTGAACTGCCCGCCTCGGCCTCCCAAAGTGCTGGGATTACAGGCGTGAGCCACTGCACCCAGCCTCCAATGTTATTATACAACCTTTTTATGAGGTAGAGAAAATTGAACAATATTTAATCTTCCCCCGAAACAGTATAATCTATCTGATAGATTCTGTGATTTTTAAACTTCAACAGATTACCAAAGCTTTACCTGTGTGAATTCTGTCTTAAATATATGAAAAGTAAAAATATTTTGCTAAGACACTCCAAGAAGTGCGGATGGTTTCATCCTCCAGCAAATGAAATTTACCGAAGGAAAGACCTTTCAGTATTTGAGGTAAGCACGTGTAAATAAAAAATTCAGCTTTTTGAAATCTAGTACTCCTAATTGTTGACTATGTGCTGATTTGTGTTTAGAACGTGCAAAGTATATTTAATTTTGGCACTGAAATTCAGACTGCCCTTTAAAACATCTCCGTGTTTTGGAATGTTTATCTAACCATATTAAGCAACCATTTAGATTGATGAAGAATCCCTACTTCATCACATTGACATTTTTGTCTTCCCCAAAATCCCTGTCTACACTAGATATATTCACCAATGAATTTATGATCTGCTCAGCTCTTTGTAAATTCCACTTTCTTTGGCAGGAGAAATGAGCTTTGTTCAGCAGCTCTAGCCAATGTCTGGCAGGTGCTCACTCTTCCAGGGAATGGAGCAGCTGTACATATCTCCTCAATACACAACCACCTGTGTTTCCATCCACTTCTTGGCAGGATGGATAATCCTTTTGGTGAGACCCTAGCAGATGTTGGGACTCCCTCCCATCTGGGTAGATGGCCACCCCTGAAGAACTCTGCTGTTCACAGGAACCCCTTGTGGCCATATGTCTGTCATTGTGGGTTTCTTGAAGACATTTTGTATTTCCAGAATTGATTTAGTAGCAGGCCTTTGCCTCTATATAGTTGCATTGTTTAATTATGTATCTGTTGTCAGTTTCAGGGATTCAGTTAAGCTGAGTCAGTTTTACCTTGCAGGGACCATGCCTTTCTCCCAGGTTGTTGTCTGTCTGCAGGACTTTTCACATCTCTCCTTTATGCTCTTCCCTCCACTTGCACACTTCTGTTGCCTGCTGCTGCATTTTTTTCTTTTGTGACCCATCATGGTATGCATTGATGCTCATTCCTGGGTGCTGGGAACACACCTACCTTGTACAGCAAATGTGATGTCTTCTTTCTGTGAAATATAGTTTCACTTCTGGATTCTCTTTTTCTGAACTGTTCAGGCTGACACTTATTGTTCTCCCTTACAGTTCTCTTTATTTCTGGCCTGTAGTGTCTTGCCATCATATTAAATAAAGGGAAGGTTGTAGGTTTCTCACATGGACCAGGCTCCTTCTCAGACAGGTTTGGGCCCACTAGGTTTTCCCCAAGACTGATCAGAGAACACAGGAAACTCCAGTTATGTCTTATGATTTTTTTAAAGCCTTCTCTTTTCTGTCAGGCTCTTTTGGCAAGCTTGGAGGAAGAAGGTATTGTTGCTGGGAAGGTTAGGTGATATATTAGTTCTTACTAAAAGTTAGGCATAGAGTTTCTCAATCTGGGCACTATTGACATTTCAAGCTGGTTAGTTCTTTGTTGTAGGGGCTATGCTATGCAGCATAGGATGTTTAGCAGCATCTCTGGCCTCTACTAATTGGATGCCAGTAGCACCACCACCCCCTCCAGTTGTACCAACCAAAATTGTCTCCAGACGTAGCCAGATATCCCCCGGGGGGGCAGAATCACCCCCAGTAAGAACCAGTGGGCTAGAGGGAAGGCTGAAGACATGTTGCCTGAGCTTCCTGTTGCTATGCTATCCCGCCAGCCCCAGCCGGCTGAGGTGACACAGCTGCTCACAGTTGAAGCTTAGCTAATGTCACAAGTTCAGCTTTCTTATTGGATCCTTCCTTGATGCCTTAGATCTGTTCTTCCAACCAAAACATTGTTTCTCAAAGCTCAAAACACATTGTTGGCCTTAAGTAATTATTTAATAAATCGGCATGAGTCAGCATTGGGGTTGAAGCTGTCATAAATCCATGGAACGTCTTCTCAGGGGCAAGGGGATCAGTCTTGTTAGGCTGGTAAGAATGGGCTGTTCTTTCAGGGCAGGTGCTTTTGGACCATCCAGAGATGAGAGGGGAAACATCAGAAGCATGTCTCTAAAATTCGCTTGTACGAATAAGGAGTTGGATTTGATAAGTACTGAGGTCCCTATTCTGGAACCTGAGTTAATAGAGTGTAACATTTGGGCAACTTTTCTCCTAGCAGTTTCCTACAAAACTTATAAAATAAAGGAGGAATAATCATAGATTATAATTTTTCTGCCTTCTTCCCTTTCTTTATTCCTCTTATACCTTTCACAACTGATCAGAATTTTCTTCAGCACTGTCATCTCTCTATTTTTCTGGTTCACAGTTACGTATATCTGCATCTTACCTTTTTGTAATATCTACCATTTCCAAAAGGGCCATACTTTCAAATATATGAAAACTTCCTTTAATTAAAGGGAGAATTGTATCCTCTGTGCCCGTTGCCCTTATTTGATTGTGCTGCTATGTATGGGACCTAGGTTTCATCTAAGGGAAATAGTTATATGAAATCTAAAAATAATTTGTGCAAGATGAGAACCCGTATGGTCCACAGGAGACCTGAGAATGGTCAAGTTTGTTGTTTAAGAGCTCTGGTTAGCAAATACCCATTTCCCTTAAGAAAAGTGCTAGGGAAATTCTTCTTGAATCTGCTGTGTTTTCTATTTTCAACAAGTAACTACATTTGATCAAAGAAATTGGCATCTGTGCCTAGCCTCCTGTCTGTAGCCATCAGTATCACAGCTTGATTCTTTTATTTTCAAGAGAAGTAGACTGTAATCATGGTGCTTATTGTAGGTTGAAATTCATATCACTTTCTCTGTAAGTATTCCCAACATAGATATTTTATCTTTTCCAATTATATTTAAGATGATGCTTGGGATAAAACCAAAATGGAAACCTCTTTGCTAATCCACACTTCTGAGGAATCAGAATAATACAGTTCATTAATTTTAGTTTTATGTGAAACCCTTTTGAAACAACATAAAGTTTAACTTACTTGAGAAGTATTTTGATCTGTTTATATTTCCTTAATACAGATTTATTTGGTTCAAATAAAGAGAGAGGACATGCCTCATCATTTTTAGCTCAGAATAAACTACAAGTAAAAACTACTCCTTTACTAGTGGTTTGGCCCTTCTTTGGTAGCTAAAAGAGAAATTTAACTACTTCAAATATACCCTAATTTAAGAGAAAATGTGGAATTCTGATTTGCCAGTGACAGCTGTTTTCTGGTTAAAGCTGTACTTGCTTAATAGAGTGTTTTAATCTCTCAGTTTAAGATTTGGAAATAAAATGATGTACTTTCTGAAATACCATATAGAAGAAACAATTTTATATGGTGTGGTATTTTTATGTTAAATAATGTTGTCTGTTTCTTTCTTTTAGGTTGATGGGAATATGAGCAAAATTTATTGCCAAAACCTTTGCTTGTTAGCCAAGCTCTTCCTGGACCACAAAACGTTGTATTATGATGTCGAGCCATTCCTTTTTTATGTCCTTACAAAAAATGATGAAAAGGGCTGTCATCTGGTTGGATACTTCTCTAAGGTAAAACAAGAGCCAGCATGACCTTCATTTTCTTTTTCAAAATGTTTTTGGTAGAGCCCAATTCTTTGAACAGGGCTTTTTCATTACTGTAATTTGAATAAGTGACATGTGTTTTTGAAAAGCTCAGGTTCTTGTTCAGAGCTCATTTTAAAAGATGAAAACAAAAAACATGGTACCTAGTAAGTGTGTAAAGGACCTCAGCACTGTGTGCCGTCCTGATGACATTCTAATTGCTGCCTTGTGGACCACTTAGCATCTTTGATTTTCTCAGTGTAAGCTTATTTCCGTTTTCCCTTTAAGTGGTGTCAACATGAAGGTTTCAGTTTAATGTAGCATTTAAGAGAGAATTCTCCTTTCTCCTTGTTGCCTTCCCTCTGTGGTCGACAGTATCTCAGTGAGTTAGGACGCTGGCATTTGGACAGTCAAGCTGATAAAATGACTGGTTTTACACTTTCATCTCTTATTCTCTGTGCTATGGTTTTAAGTTCTAAAGCAATCTCACCTTTAGAAAGCCTAAGTATCGGCTGGGCACAGTGGCTCATGCCTGTAATCCCAGCACTTTGGGAGGCCATGGCGGGTGGATCATGAGGTCAAGAGATAGAGACCATCCTGGCCAACATGGTGAATGCAAAAAATTACTAAAAATGCAAAAAAATTAGCTGAGCCTGGTGGCACACACCTGTAGTCCCAGCTGCTTGGGAGGCTGAGGCAGGAGAATCGCTTGAACCTGGGAGGCGGAGATTGCAGTGAGCTGAGATCGCGAGTGAGACTCCGTCTTTTTTTAAAAAAAAAAAAAAAGCCTGAGTATCTCCGGCTATTAGAGTGGGGGAAACATCGACATATTGAGGGGATGTAGCTTGTCCTTTTCAGTGGTTCAGAGCAGTTTACTCACATTCTTCTGCTCAAAGGCTTCTAAGAAACAATAGCTCCTTTAATATAAAGGATAACTGAGTTTGGAGATGTTTACCAGGTAATGACCTTAACTTTTCTAAGGCACCTAGGAAATAGTTAAATTTACCAGGATGGTACATAGAGACAATAATTATGAGACTTTAAGGTAGAAGGTCCAAACTCTATCTTTTGTTTATTTTATGATACATTTTTTATATTAGGTGATACTTGAATTTTAATGAATCTGCTCTTGCACAATGTAAATGGGATGCTTCATAGAAGTGCCGTTTTAATGGAGTTTCAAAAGATAGAATATATGTGAAGGTACTTGCCAACTATAGCTATCCTAAATTCAAGAGTCAACCCAAAGATCATAAAAATAAATAACAGTATTCATGGAAAACTGTCTCAGTGTTTCCACATATTTGGTAAAGCTTTGAAATGAAAAAGAAGAAAGTTAATTTGCACATTACAAATTCAAAAGATGATAGAGAATTAACACTGAATAAAACAATAAATAGGAAATCTATTTATATGATTAATAAATAAAACACCTTACCTTTTATGTAGGTTTGTCGAGATCATTTTTCTCCAGAGACTTAAAAAGAATAGTGGTTGCGTCCTTCCTGTTAGAAAATGGTGTTTCTTTCAATGTCTGTGGATTTAAACATAGGCTTACCCATGCCCACCTTACTCGTGCTGCACTGACCATACCACTCCTGAGTCTTGTGTTGGCCGCTGAGTAGCAGCCATGTGTAGAGTTGGTGGTGATTCTTGAAGTTTGAATTTCTGCCTCTCTTCCTCCCAGGGTACGTAACATTTTACTCAGAACTAGCTCAACTTTTCTCATTTTGTCAGTTTCTTCTATAGCATGGCAGCAGCTGCTGTTATTTCCTACTATTTTGGAATACTAATATGCCTTGGCAGTATAGTGAAACAAAAATTAATCTAAAAAATAACCATGTTAAAAGACTAGATGAGGCCGGGTGCGGTGGCTCACGCCTGTAATCCCGGCACTTTGGGAGGCCAAGGTGGGTGGATCATGAGGTCAAGAGATCAAGACCATCCTGGTCAACATGGTGAAACCCTGTCTCTACTAAAAATACAAAAATTAGCTGGGTGTGGTGGTGCGTGCATGTAATCCCCGCTACTCTGGAGGCCGAGACAGGAGAATCCCTTGAACCCGGGAGGCAGAGGTTGCAGTGAGCTGAGATTACCCCACTGCACTCCAGCCTGGTGACAGAGCAAAACTCCATCTCAAAAAAAAAAAAAAAAAGACTAGATGAAACTAAACCATATTCTCATGTGTCAGTTGGAATCTAGAGGACTCTGGCCCTTTGGGGCTATTCTTGAACCAAATTCTAGAGGTTATTAGAATGACAGTTCAAGGATAGCCAGAGAAGGGCTGGAATGACCTAGAAAGGTTCAGTGCAAACTGTTACATGCATATGACTTTCCAAGCACATAATAGATGGCTGTAAACAGAAAGGAAAGAAGTAGTAGTTATTTTATTCATAGCTTAGAATTTAGCTGTAGTAACACGTTAAGTTGCGAGGCGGGGGAGGAAAGATCACTACTATGTTGGATCTCAGAAAACTCCGAAAGGTGGAAATGGTTCTGGACAAAGAAGGGAATGGCATCAAGGATGAATTCTCTTAACCCAGAGTACATTTCTTTTTAGAGAGAGTGACCTATTTGTCTAACTTTGCAAAATAGACGAATTACTTGAACCTTTGCCATTGATGTGCACATCCAGTGAGGGACAATTCATCTTTTTAGGAGAACTGACACACATTGCTTCCTCCTCATTTTTTAGCAGCTCCATAGACAACTACAAATGTGCAAAAGTTGGGAATGCATCTTTTTCACAAAGAAATACTCAGTTCTGCCCTGTAGGGTTTTTTCCACAACCATCTCCTGTGATCTTTCAAATTGGTTCATTAAAGATCTGGGCATTCTGAAGTAAAACTTTGATGTGGTTGGTACCATTTGTGGTCAGTCTTATTTGTGGTTTATATTTGGCCAGAGCATCCATGACCTCAAAAGCCTTTTCCAGATCTCTGTGTAGGTTTTGGCAACTTCTGTGTACTCTGAATAAAAAAATGCTGCCCTGATGCCACATCCCATGAAAGTTGCAAGTTCTTGTTTAACTGTAAGAGCTGTTTCTTACCATGTTCTATCCAATCTTCCTCCTGGTTTCAAACTGTTGGTAGTATTTTGGTCTAACCTTTGTTTGGAGGCTTTAGGGTTTCTTGTTGTCTTTTTGTTTCATTTTGTTTTGTTTTCCTGGTTTGAAATGCAGATTAATTATTTCTCTAGCTTTTTACATTGACTTTTTATTCATAGGAGAAATATATTTGTGCACATCTACCCACACAGATACTGTTTTAGTTTCACTGGGGCATTTGCCAAAAGGCAGAAGACAGATTGCTGTTGCAGAGTTGTAGATTATTATTATATTTAGCAAGATAGCTGGCTAAATCCTAACTTACTCCGCTGGGTGACTCCCTGGGATGTTATTTTCTCTATCTCTGAAGTTATTTGAGCAAGGAAAGCATTTCTTTTATACTGTCTGTATTCTGTTTTATTTGGTTCATATTTCCTTGGATTCTTTATGCATATTTTATGGCACTGACTTTCAAGAATAAAGATGTAGTTGAGAGGCATGCCAGAGTCGATGGTTTGTTGTTAGTTGATAGTTTGATTGATTAATATAGTAGGATTTTTCTGCTTGATCCTGACCTAACCCATTGGCTTTCTTTAGTGGACAGTTTTACAAGGACAGTGGCAGGTGCAGGGAATTGCCCACTTCAGCAGGGCTCTGACATACTTGATCTGTTTCTCCTTCCCTCAGGAAAAGCTTTGCCAGCAGAAGTATAATGTCTCCTGCATAATGATCATGCCCCAGCACCAAAGGCAAGGATTTGGACGGTTTCTCATTGATTTCAGTAAGTGAAGTACTTTATTTACTTTCATGATCCAGGAGGCTGATGGCTGTTACAGGAAACAGTAACACATAAAACTTTATTTAACCTGCATTGTTGTTTTTATCAATAGATAATGAGTTTTCTATTTATATTTACATAGGTTAGAACATCTTCCTCAAGTGAAAAATGTGCTGCTGCTCAGTGATTGTACTCTAGGAAATTGAGACTAGATCTCTCAGCAGCGGGCCTCATGCACAAAGCCATTACCCTGAATGAACCGACAGAATTACATTCCATTTTGTGGTGCTCATGCTCATTAGCACCAAAAGAGGCAATTATTCGTGATTAAAGCTAAAGGAAGTATTATTTGAAAGGATTTTCAGCTCTCTAAAATTTTGCCTGTAATCTTGTACAGTGCAAAGCAGAAAAGGTATATTTCCATTTAGAAAAATAATTTTCTAGGCAGCCTGTCCTGGGCCTTGCTAGTAGAAATAACTCTTACCTTGTTTTGTTAATTTCCCTTTTCTATTACGGAAATTAATACAGTGTTTGTATCTAGAGGTTTCCCAAGAAATATTTATCTTATATGCACTCATATCTTCTGAGCCTTCTCTGTTAAAACCAGAATAATATATAAAAGTACGCACACGGATAATGTTTTTAAAAATTGGTAGTTTGTTTTTTTCCTTGTTTATATGATACTGGATGTGTAAATGTTGTGTTAGGGGTACATTTGGAGAATTGATTCAAAATATCTAGATAACATGATGACCAGATATCCCATGATAATAGTCATTTCTGGTCATGTAAAAATCTGTCATTGGCCAGGCGTGGTGGCTCATGCCTGTAATCCCGCACTTTGGGAGGCCGAGGCAGGTGGATCACAAGATCAAGAGATTGAGACCATCCTGGCCAACGTGGTAAAACCCCATCTCTACTGAAAAATAAATACAAAAATTAGCTGGACATGGTGGCACACGCCCGTACTCCCAGCTACTGGGGAGGCTGAGGCAGGAGAATCACTTGAACCCAGGAGGTGGAAGTTGCAGTGAGCTGAGATGGTGTCACTGCACTCCAGCCTGGGCGACAGAACGAGAGACTCTGTCTCAAAATAAATAAATAAATAAAAATAAATCTGTCACTAGGAACCAGGTGCTTCTTGATTACCAGATTGCAGTTTATCTGCTTGTTAACTGAAAGGAGGAAAATTTAGGACTTTGCACAATGTTCATCAGCTATATCAGATGCAAAAACCACAATGTAAATGTTCTCACAGAAAACCATGAAGAAATACAGTGAATCTAAATCTATATTGTTAGGTATTGTAAAGATTAATGTCTGATTAAAGTGTAAAATAACTGAATAGCAGTTTTGACTGATTTATATAATTTATTGACATTGAAGAATGTGATTCTTTTAAAAGAAAAATTTTGATTATTTTTCCATTTTTAGATAATATTTTTAGTTCTTGATTCATTACCCTAGTCTTATCTATACTTTCCTGACCTAGTTATCCATGAAACCAGTAATCCCAAGGAGGGCCATCTTACCAAATGCAGTGTACCGTTTTTATTATTATAGAGTCCTAGCTGTAATCATTTCTGAGGGCAAAACCATTTATCTTGTTCTCTAGTTTTGTGTGTCTTCCATTCATAAGTAGTCCGTAAATATAGTTTCTGGTGTGCATAGCAGCCATTCAAGCCTTAAATTTTTGGTCATATCTATATGCCTACAGAATAAGGCAAACTCCTTAGCTCAATATTTAACGTCTTCCAACATCTAGTTCCAGCCTGTCCTTTACGCTTTTTCATCTACTAATCTCCTTTTTCTCAAATAGTCTGAGCATGGTCCTATACCTCCATTTTTTGTCTATACAGTCCCTTCCTTGAAGTGATCACCTAATCCTTTCCTAGTCTCTGTCTGTTCAAAATCCTGCCCATTGTTACAAGCCAGCTCAAGTATCTCTGCTTTTTGATCCCACCTCCTGGAATTTTATCTCATACATTTATTGTATATGGTATCACACTTACACTCTATTCACCCTTTTGTGATAATTATTGATGGAGGTGTCATACTTCCAACTTCTCTGTATCCAGTAGTACAGTTTCCTATATAATAATATGTATTAGATGGTATAAATTAAATTGTATTGATATAAACTAAATCTCCAAATTGATATGTTTGCTGTCCACAATAATTGTCTACCTAAAATTAAAAAGGAACTGGTACTTACTAGGTAAAAGTTCAAGCTCTAAATTCAGTAGCATCTTATTTGTACAGCATGATCTGGCACTAAGGCCTTCTACATAAGAAAGCAATCTGGGTAACAAATACATTATCTTCAAATGCTATGTCTTTTTTTAAACCATTTTAGTGAAAACTGTTATTAGAATCTACCTTGTCGTTTAAAACTACAGAACACATTGAAACCTTTTCTGAGTGGCTCAGGGCCACCATGATGAATGCTGTCTACCAGGATGTGACCAGGCAAAGCAGTGCTGAGGGTGTGGTTTTTGATTTTCTCTTTCCTGTACACTTAGCATTGCCCCTGCTGGAGTGGGTTTAAGAAGTGCGATGAAAGATCTGAATACAGTTGAAAAGGGATTGGTGTTATTCCCTCAGAGAAGAGGAGACTAGGGGAAGAATTTTATAGCACTCAAAGAAAATGCGAACTGGTGTAAACCCAATAGAAATTCAATTTAAAACCAAAAGAATTTCTTGGCTATAAAAGTTGTAAGGAAGATAGAGTAGGCTGCTGAAGAAATTAATAGCACCTTCTCTTGGAAGTTACTTAAAGTAATAGTAGATAAATATCTTTCCAGAATGATTGAAATACAGCCTTTGAAGGTGGGGATGAGTCACATGACCTCTCATGATCATTTTTGACCTCATAATTTGGAGCCCAGGATAGAAAGCTAACTAGGGTTACAGGTTTTCTAAAATCTGCTCTGGTTTTTTAACGGACCTTTTAATGGTTATATTTATTTTATTTCTGTTTTGTACATGAGCCTGGGGTCTTGTAGTCAGGGATGTATTTTCAGTAAGTCAAATGAGGTGGTAAATCAGGTAGATCTTTATAATTGCCAGTTTAGTAAGCTGAAACAAGACACAAGCAGGGAGAGAGATATAGCTGCCCACTTGCACACTTGATCACAGATGTGAGTGGAATGTAATGCATTGTGTGTATATACACGCTCCTGGACTTACAGTGGGGCTATGGGCTGATAAACCCATCATAAAGTGAAAATATCATTAATTAAAAATACATTTAATACACTTAATCCACCAACCATCATAGCTTAGCCTGGACTTTAAATGTGCTTAGAACATTTACATTACCCCACAGTTGGGCAAAATCATCCAACACAAAGCAAATTTCATAATAAAGTGTTGAGTATCTCATGTAAGAGTGTTGTACCACATATCGCTAGCCCAGGAAATGATCAAGTATGGTTTTTACTGAATGGTGTTGCTTTCATACCTTAGTAAAGTTGAACCATTGTAAGCCAGGGACTATCTGTATAAAGAACTGCAAATGCAGTGCTTTGAACACTGTTCTTCAGGGCAACCGAGTGAGGTGGAATGGTCATCCATGGGACCATGTGCTGCTTACAGAATGAGTCATTTGTCTGTCACTTCCTAGAACAGCTTCTCTGGGATTTGTCAGAACAAGGCTCCCAAGGAGGCCATTTGCAGAGTTTGGCCAGAAGTGACTAAAGGGCACCAACTCCCAATTTGCTCATAAACTCCCTAGTGGGTTTTGTGACTCTTTGCCCACAACTGGAATGGGTGGAGGAGAGAGTGACTATCATGGATTGGTTGAGAACACATTCCTTTCTCTTGGATTCTAGGATTCCCTTTCTCAATCAGAAAATTTGAAAGTCTTCCCCATCTCTGTCTGTAAAGTCTTTCTATCTCTCTCTCCCTCCATCCCCACCAGACATGCAGAGAACTCCCTTGCCCACAAAACATTTGCAGTTCCTACTTCAGAGCCTCACACCGACAAGGCAAGGAGCTCTTCTTCTCCCAGCCACTGCTGAGCCCTGGGGCCCCAGAGCGCTCCCTCCCAAGCCCTGGACTGCTTCTGCTGCAGGGGCTGCCAGCAGTGCCTTATCCATCTCACTATTTTCTTCTTTAATTTTGAAATAATTTCAGACTTAGAGGAAAGCTCTAAGAATAATACCACAATTTCCCATACATTGTTGCACATGTTCACATTTTATCACGTCTGTTTTCTACTCTATTATTTTCAATCTTTCCCTTTGTTTCTCTCTTTCTCTCTCATATTTTCTTTTCAGAATCATTTGAGAGTAAGTTGAAGACGTGTGGCGCCTTTATCCCTAAATATTACAGTGTTTTTCTACAACGATGCTCTCATATATAGCCATAATACAAATTATTAAAATCAAGATATTAATCTCTGCGCATTGTTCAGATTTTAAATTTTACCAATTTATACTGATGTTCTTTCTAGAAGAAAAAAAAAAATCTCCAGGATCACCTGGAGTATGTAGTTATGTCCCTGGAGCCTCCTTTAATCTGGAATAGTACCTGTTTTTTTGTTTTGTTTTGCTTTGCTTTGTGTTTTCCATGATTTTGATATTTTTGAAGCATATAGGCCACTTATTTTGTAAGATGTGCTTCAATCTGGGTTTATCTGATGTGTCTTCACAGTTAGATTTAGGCTGTACATTTTTTGGCAGGAATACCATAGAAGTGACCGTATGTCCTCCCCAGTGCATTTCATCAGGATCATATGATAATACATTTGTCTCATCGCTGGGTTTAGGTGGTACCTGCCAGGCTTCTTCACTGTGAAATTACCATTTTTCGCTTTGTAATCAGTAAGTATCTGGTGAGAAGATACTTTGGGATTATATAAATATCAATTCTCATCCAATTTTCACCTCCTACTTTTACCTTCACTTATGGCTCTTATCTAAAATAATTATTACTATGATAATTACCAAATGGTAATTTTCTAATTTCATTCTTTCTACAACTTACTAATGGGCATTCTA